AGCTCTTGTATCCTAGAAGCCTTTGAGTGGAAGTCCCAGATACAAAAGTAGGACACTACAGCATCTGCTACAGTGTGTCTGCAAGCATTAACTAAAACATTTGTTCTTTGTTAAGCACATTGTACCATTTGTTGTACACCCCGTCTTTCATGCACCCTGATACATACTCATATACTCTTATAAATGCTCCTGATAAATCCTATTCATTCCTCGATATCGACTTTAATAGTCATTGCATCACAGAAAACTTTCTTGGACCACATGTCTCGATTAGACAAAAAAATTTTTAAATTGATATCTACTATTTATATATCCTTATGGGCTACATTAAGGTAAATCCATCCATATGTAATAATCAAATCAGGGTGATATGCATTTCCAACATTTCACCCACTAATCATTTTTATGCATCAAGAATTTTGTACTCTTCTTGTCATTTTGAAATGCATTATTGTTTTCACTAGTAGCTATCCCACTGTGTTACACAACTGAAGTAATTCCTCCACTGTATACTTCCATTCACCTACCGAACATTTTTATACCCCTTGACTCCTTACTCTACCACGTTCCTAGTGACCCCCATTGCTTTTTAGTTTTCTATAAGGTTTATAACTTCCATGAATGAAGAGAATGCCTAGTGCTGTATTTCCATGTCTGAATTTGGTTTATTTCACTTGGTCTGACCTTTCACAACATCCATAATATTATTGCAAATCACAGGAGCTGCAGTAATTTTAAATGTTTTATTTTCTTCTTAATGTGTTAGTCATACATAGGAATGGGGCTCAGGGTGATATTTGAACACATGCATGTAGCATGTTCTGAAAGTACCAAGATAGCATTTTGCTTACCTTTCCATGTGTTTGTGTTTGAATCCTTGCAGCTCCTCTCCTTTCCTCTAACTCTTCATGAAATATATAATAGATAATGTGAGAAAGAGTCACCCCTCTCTCTTATGGAAAATGCTTCCACTAACTATGCTTTTGTATCTGTTATCCAGCTTCCCTGTATTTATTTCCCCCACTTTTCCCAATTTCTAGTAATCACTATTCTACATTCTGCTCGACTTCCTTTTATTTTTCATATATGAAAACATATGTGTCATTTTGGGCTGGATTATTTCACTTAACATAATGTCCTTCAGTCTCACTCATTTTGATGAAATTATAAGGATTTCATTTTCTTAATAAGGTACTAATACTTCATTGCCTTTGTTGGATGCATATTCATCTGGATATTTGCAGACATGCTTAGCTGTAGGCCTGTAACAGTAAGGACTCCCACAAGCCTTCTTTTCCAGAGGTGACACGAGTCCCATTTAAGCTCCTTCTTGATGTATTCTTGGTTTCTTAGATGTCCCTGCAGACTTCAAGGTTCCTTAGATACTTTGGTTAACAACTCTTTCTCAGATTGTTCATTCCCCAATTCCAGATATCATGGCCTGATTTTTATTATATTTACCATGCTTAATTCTTGTAATGAATTTATTAGTTTTGTAATGTAATGTGTCTAAGCCTGTTTTGTGACCTGAACTCTGACAAAGTCAGTATAGTGTTTAAGAGCAAGGATGTCTCTTGATATATTAAATTGCTCCCATGTTAGTGAATAGTTAGTTTGTTCACACCTTATCAAAGTTTACTATCTGATGAACAATGTCTTTCTTTACATATTCCAGTATATTGCAGCACCAATCTTAATATTTATTTTCAAGACCTCTGCTTAATGTGTTACCTCTCTTAAGTGAGTGGAAGGAAAATCAGAATTATTTGTGTTCTTTTTGTTAAATGTTTCAAATGCATCTGAATTTGTCACAATTTTCTAGGAAGACAGAGACTCTGTGAGATGGATGGTTGATGGATAGATAGGAAAGACATTATTAGGGGCCTAGCTCAGGTGATTATGGAGTTTGAAGAGTGCTGTTCAGGCCTCCTGCATGCTGAGGAACTGGAGGAGCCAAGATGCAACAAACTTCTAGTCAGACCCCAAAGGCCAAAGAAAGCAGAGTTGTTACTGTGGAACGGATCAGGCACTGGTACATGTCATTATGAACCTATCCATCAGCTTTAGCTGATCCCCACTAGGTACAGACATAATGAGTATCAGGTATGCCCTCAATCCAAAGTGATGTGTTAGGTCACTGTTGCTGAACCTAGAAAGGATGCAGTAAAAAGATGGTTATGTGACCCTGGAGCTGTGGACTGGAAGGCCTATAGAAGTTGAGAGTGAAGAGACTGACTAAAGTACCACTCAGATAACAGTTCCCTCTGCACTCCCGTGCTCTTATAACATGCGGCGCAGGGGGAGATGTGGTGAGATTCAGTGTAGCATAAATAGAGTCCTTTCATCCATCTCAAACCTGCTCCCAGGAACCTGCAGAGAGCTACATGAAAGTCTGGCATTTGTCGTCTGAAATCTCTAGAAGGGAACGCTGAAAGCGGGGACTAGCTGTAATTAATGGTAATTGCTCTAAATGCAAAAGACTGAAGATAGACACCAGGGGCTGAAACGTCCTGCGTAGCGGCAGAGGAAAGAGGTTGCACCACACTGCAGATATAACCCTGATCTACGAGTCCATCCCTTAGAGCACCAGCCAGGAGTGGTCGTGCAAGAGGGACCGTGATGTTCTGGTGCAGTTGATCTGGCCTGAATGGAGAATGCCGGGTCTGAGGCCTGAACAACACGCCAGAGAAAACTGAGCTCATTTAGGAATTTCAGTTGTATGTTCCTGATGAGTAAAACTCTTAAATCCGTGGAACGTTTCAAGAGAGAAAAAGTCATTTTTAAAATCAACTATTTACAGTGTGAACCAACATCTGATCACATATACACTTTTAAACCTCTGATTTCATCTCTTTGCTTTTATTACAATTGTATAACTAGAGCAGTCAGAAACAATAATCACGGATGGTGCAAAATGGGAAGGAAAGATATATCAAATTATGAAAACAGATACAAGGTTTACTAGTCCTATCTTCCACCACTGCAGGCTTCTCAGACTCAAGCAGTCTCCAGTTAAGGGACATGAGAAAACAAACGTTAAAGTTGTTCTGTTTTAGACCATGCTTGATTTTACTATAACAGCTACACTCGCAGTTTGGTTGACGAAAGTCACCAGGGTAAGTTTTAACATATAAAAATGACCAAATCTTGGGTTGCACTGACATAGAATGCACGACACAAAGAAATGCAAGCCCACAGATTCAGATTAAAAATGAAAAATGCTGTCCTTTGAGCCCTATAACATCCTGTACTTTCAACATAATGGGTACAGATGAATTTGCTCGTGAACAAAACAGAAGCATCAAGACTATCTACATATATAAAAAGATCTTGCTATCCCTCATATTAACACAAAAGGTTAAAATCTACTAACAGGAGAAAGAAAGCGGAATTCCATATATATTGCATGCCCGGAGTTAAATAAACTTCAGATTTTCACCCTAAAGGGATTTGAGGCTTACTTCATGAAAAGAGGTGGAGAATCAGGCACATGACAAGAAGGCTACGGATCAGTTTGGTATTCACTGTCTTATTGGCTTTTTGATAAATCCAAATATTTTTAATTTTACATTCTAGCAAACTCAGCAAAATAAGTTAGTTTAATGCTTGATTTGTTTATTTTAATAATTATTGGGATATTAAAATGTTATTAATTCCAAATAAGCAAATTACATTGAAAAATAAAACTTTATCACAATCATTTCTTTTCAATTTTTAACTGATGCCCTACATTATGCATATTTATAAAAACTGTGATTTTTTTTTTTCAGTACTGTGGATGAAATCCAGGGTTTTAACGATAAGCTCCATCTCCAGCACTTTTTAAATACTTTTTCTTGTGACATAGGATTCTTATATCAAAAGTCTCAGTCACTAAATTTAGACTAAGTCACTAAATGTAGTCTAAGTCACTGAATTACTCAACTTGGTCACAAACTTGTGACTCTCCTGACTGAGCCTCCTAAGCTGTTACGATTACAGGTGTTTGCCACCACACTTGGCCCATGTGATGTTTTGATACATGTATACTTTGTGTAATGTTCAAATTAGGAATATATGTTCTTCAACAATGTCTGAAATTTAGGCATTCTAAACATTACATATGATAATTGGTCCATGTAATTCCCAGCTAAGAAATAACCCTTATGCCTACCTAAAAGTATTTATGAATACTACAGAGTACAAAGGGTTTCATGAGAACAGGATCTAAATATGCAAGAATAAGGCTAAAACTTTAAATGAAAATATTGTGAGCAAATAGTATTGCTGTGAACTGACAAAGAGATATTTTGCTTTACTTTTAGACAAAATTATATTCAATGACCATCAATATAATGTGCCACAAGTCATGCATTTTAAGATGGAATACTTCTCTATTCCTTGACAAAGTAAATGACTTCCTATTATCTATGAATATATTTATTGTGTCAGTGGCATAATATAACAAAAAATCTAGTTACAAAGAGAAAATTTTATTGGGCACATAAAGAAGTAAGAAGAGTATTGCTCTCGGAAGCTGCTAAGCTTAATTTCAAGTTCACTTACTGACTGACTATTGGTCTTGGGTGAGTCATTTAATCTTTGTGTGTATGACACAAAAATAGTAGTTAACAAAGCAAAAGTGACACTTAATATATGCTTAGCATGGAGGTTACAGAGTTTTACGAAAAATCTATTCAAGAATATCTCATGCCTTCCTACTCTTAATGAAATAATACTAATTTCTTTATTTTATAGGTCAAATAGTGAAATCATGCAGGCTTCATAGTTTATCTAAAACCACGTGGAAAGTTAGAGGCAGGATCAGGTTTTCTGACTGTAGTGGTTCTTTATCTCTACATAGCAACCTCCTCTTCTCCCATTGTGAATCCTATGACATAAAAGAAAACCCTTCTATCTGTTGTCACTGGCTGAGACGGCTGACTGACTGCTTTGCATGCAGACAGCTGGTACTCTAAGCGTTGGGTGCAGTTTAGGCTGGATAATGAGGGACAGCTCACCAGTGGAACACAGCTCTCCCGTCTCTTGCATGGGCATTCCACTTGAACTTGAACTGCAGTGGTGTGCATGGGTTTTTCAAGGCCTGATGGTTGTTTCCAGGAGGAATATTCCCAACAGCAGATGCTGAAAGGCCAAGAAAGAGTCTGTAAAGGCAGACTACTCTTTGAAGTAAAACAGTATCACATTGAATGCATTATATTGAGAACCTGCCTGATTATGTGTGAAGGGGAACTATGGGATGTGAATATGCAGAGACTGAGATGTTCACATGAAGGTCTACTACTGCATCAAATTACTATTTTTGGTAACGGTGTTGGTTCCAGTGATTTCAAAATGGGGTTAGCAAATGGGAAACAAAGATTCCATACAGAAGAATTATATATTTTTGTCTATGGTACTCCTCAAGGACAGTGACCATGTGATATGTTTTTATGAATCTAAAGTAAGGGGCTGGGGATTTAGCTCAGCAGCACAGCACCTGCCTGGCAAGCTCAAGGTCATGAGTTCGATTTCCGGTACCGGAGGAAAAAAAAAAAAAAAAAAAAAAGAAAAAAAAATCTAAAGTAAATTGTCTATTTGCTCATCTATCCATCTTCCTAGTGTAAATGCCTCATACATCTAAAACAGACTGATCACAGAGACATCACTGTTTTTTTGTTTTTTGTTTTTTTTTTTTTTGGTTTTTTCGCCGGTACCAGGAACCGAACTCATGACCTTGCACTTGCCAGGCAGGCACTTTGCCGCTGAGCTAAATCCCCAACCCCGACATCACTGTTAGTTTGACTTTTGTTAAAATCCTAACACCACCAATTACTAGCAGTGTAACTCTGATATAGTAAAGAATGATGTGTACAGCTTCTGTGTTAAAAAAGTAGAGCATAACAGTAGGTATAAGTTAGCTTCTTCTCTTGTTGGTTGTGAGAAATAATATAGAGTAATAAGAAAGGTGACATGTTGTTATATCCAGAAGATATGCTTTTTTGTAGTCATATCTTTCTCTTTATTGTATTGCTTCCTCATTTATTTTTTAAAATTTATTTTAAAAATAAAAGAAGGAAAACATATTAATAATCAAACATCCATTTACAAAATAGCCTAAGAACAATACAAGTAGTACAGAGTTACACAGTGGTAGGAAATTAACAATGGTTGTTTTATTCCATATTGATATCTTCAAAGTGGTTTCTCAGGAAAACAAAGAGACATGCAAGATTGATCAAGTGATTAATCATTAACTGTTCCTTTCAGTAAAGCGATAGGAGTCAGTAGTACAACTATGTTAGCTATCCTGTATATACACACATATAATTTCCCCTTCTTTCTTTTCCCTTTTCCCTCACACAAGATGCTCTTTACTTTTAAGCAGTTTCCTTTCACTTCACAATGTTTGTAATACCTCCTAATTTTCATTTACTCTTTCAGGTTCTTACACTAGTGAGACAATGTTTTGCTTACACATGGAGGTCTGATTTATTTCACTTATGAGTATGGTCTCTAGTTGTGACCATTTGCCTGCAAAAGCTTTGAATTTATCTTTCTTTATAGCTGAGTAATATCCCATTATATAAAAGTACCACAATTTTTTTAGCCATTCCTCAGTGGATGGACATTTGGGTTGTTTCCACAACTTGGAAGTTACAAATTGTGCTGCTATATATGGGTACACATATAGTGCTATATATGGGTACACATATACTGCTGTGATATGATGCTTTCAGATCTTCTTGGAAAATACACAGAAGGGGACTAGCTGGGTTGAATGGGACCTCTAGACCTAGTTTGCTGAGGAATCTCCAAACTGATTTCCAAAGTGGTTTCACCAGTATGCATTTCCACCGGCAGTGAAGAAGAGTTCGTATTTCTCCATACCCTAACCAGCATTTGTTATTGGCTGATTTCTTAGTGATAGCCATTCTTACTGGGGTGAGATGAAATCTCAATGTTGTTTTAATTTGCTTTTTTGGAAGGACTAATGATGTTGAACATTTTCTCATGTATTTATTTGCCATTTGCATTTCTTTATCTGAGAAGTATGTATTCATCTCAGATGCTCTTTTTTGGATTGGGTCTTTGAATTTAGGGGGCTAATGTTTTTTAATTCTATATATGTTCTAGATAGAAGACAATCAGGTAAAATTCATGATAAAAACCCTACAGAAAATAAGAATAGGTGATCTTTACTTTAATATGATCAAAGCCATCTATGACAAACCACCAGCCAACATTGTACTAAATGGACAAAATCTGAAAGCTTTTACTTTAAAATCAGGAACAAGACAAGGATGTCCACTGTCACCACTCCTATTCAACACAGTTCTGGAAGAATTAGACAGAGCAATTAGAGAAGAGAAAGAAATAAAAGGAATAAAGATAGGAAAGGAAGAAGTAAAATTATCACTATTTGCAGATGACATGATACTTTACATGGAAGACCCTAAACACTACACAAGAAGTCTCCTTGAATGAATCAACAAATTCAGCAGTGCAGCTGGATACAAAGTCAATACCTAAAAATCAATAACATTATTATTCACAAACAACAAATAGACTGAGAGAGAAATAAAGGAAACCATACCTTTCACAATAGCATCCAAGAAATTGAAAAATATTTAGGAATCAATCTAATAAAAGAAGTAAAAGATCTATTCAATGAAAACTACAGTACTCTGAAAGAAGAGATAGAAGAGGATTTTGATAAATGGAAAAGCATTCCTTGCTCATGGATAGAAAGAATCAACATGGTGAAAATGACCATACTGCCAAAATTGTTGTACAGATTCAATGCAATTCCCATTGAACTACCATTAGCCTACCTCAGAGATCTACAGAAAATATTCCTTAAATTCATCTGGAACTAGAAGAGATCCAGAATACCAAAAGCAATCCAGGGCAACAAAGACAAGTCAGGTGGAATCACAATCCCTGACCTGAAGTTATGCTATAAAGCTACTGTCATAAAATCAACATGGTACTGGCTAAAAAACAGACCTGAGGATCAATGGGAAACAGACACAAGCACAAACACACTCAGCCACCTAAAAGTTGATAAAAGGGCCAAACAAGCTCACTGGAAGAACGATAGCCTCTTTAATAAATGGTGCTGGAGAAACTGGCTTGTCACCTTCCAAAGACTGAAAATAGACCCAACTCTATCAGCATGCACCCAACTCAAGTCAAAATGGATGACAGATCTCAATATTAAAACAAAAATACTAAATCTATTGGAAGAGAAAGTAGGTAAAAATCTTGAAGACATAGGGGTAGGCAGAGCGTTCATGAACAAAAACCAAACTGCACATGAAATACTTCAAAGAATCAACAACTGGGATCTCATCCTACTGAAAAATTTCCACATATCTAAAGAAATCACCAGCAGAGGAAAAAGAAAACCCACAAATTCTGAAAAAATTTTAGAGGATGTGCTTTTACTATATCAAAAGGAGAGTTTAATGTATCAAATATAAACTTTGTACTATAAACTTAGTAAGCAAAACAGATAACTCTATCTTCTTTAGGGCGGAATTTAATTTGTATTATAAGCTCCATTTTACATAGGTGGTTTTATCATAATTGATGCTAGGAAGTGGAAATAAGTTTAATTCTATCTTACATCTTTCACCTCAGGTAAAATCTAATCATGTATAGTAGTTAGACAAGGAAATCTCAGCTACTTCCTAGGAATATCAGAAAATAGAGAAATGTACAGAAGGTTTCCAGCTAGATTCTGTGATAATGAGGTGGCCAGTATTTGTGCTCCTATCATGTTGCACACATGGATTAAAGATTCTTACGTTTCACGAGTTACATCATGATCTCACAGTGATTTGGAAACAATAAACGTTTCCCACATGTCAAGAAAGATTAAAGAATTAGGAAAGGAAAAGTAAAGAAAAAGCAGAAAAGGAGTGGGCTGGTGTTTAGGTTCACTGTAGCACATCAATGATCCAGAAGAATGGTGTTTTAACAGATGACAGCATGGCTATGACACCCTTCTCTCTCCCCATTGGGTACCACTCTTAGCAGTCCCCAGAACCAAACATGGAGCTGGAGCCAATATGCTGGGAAGGAAAGACACTGAACTGATGGAGCTTACAATTCTTCCCTCTACTGGAATAAGATTTCAAAAAAAATTTCATTCAATAAGAGGGTGAATTGCAAATTTTATGCTGAATTTCTCTTAGATTTTTCGGGTCTATATGAACCTGAAGAAACTGGATTATAAATGTTTTCCTCACATGTCTACAGAGAAAATCATATTTCTACTATCAGATATAGAAACCTTTATCATCACCCTGTTATAAAAATTAGTTCAAAGGGCTATTCTCCTTGTTAGATTAGTTGGTGGATAAAATTGGGAATATACTAAATTGAACATTCTAAATTACTTTTATGTGTGACTTCTTGAGAACGTATCTTAAGTTTCAACACTTAGATTGTTTAGTTGTTTTTTTTTTTTTAATTTGGAGGTGAGTTGATGGAATTATCAGGAAATAAAACACTAGAGTATAGCAATACGGTGTTAGTCCTGTAAGCAGAGAACACTTGTACACAGGATATCGAAACTTCTTGGAGCCTCCAGGGACCCTCGTAGCAGTTGCTCAGAAGCCCATGAAGGACAGCGGTATTCACTTCTAATGAGCTTTCATTTGCCCTGTTATGACATGGGATTCAAGATCTCCAAACAATTGGGCCACTGTGATTTAATCTATCATTTTCTCACGTTTTCCAGCTAGCGCAGTGTTACATTTGTATAGTGGCATGTCAAACTCCATACATCAACCTCTGAGAAAGAAGCTAAACAGTCACATAACAGAGAGGGTGAGGACCGGTGCTTGAGCTTGCATGTCACAGCTCACTGAGCAGACTTCCCCCAAGCACCTGCCTCAGTGCCTGTCAGAGACTCACCCGGAACGCGCTGGGTTTCTCATCTAAGCTTCCAGCACACTCTCCCAGGTGATGGCATGCAATGGGACCTTCAGAAACAAATCACGTTGCTTTCTCTCTCATGCTCTTTTTTCTTCTCTAGTGAATGGTGACAGTGGATCTGCCACTTTACAAATAGTGTGCCATGGCCAAGTCACATGTTTCTTTTTTTTGTTTGTTTCAGCGCTTCACTGAACAGA